ATAGATAAGAGAACCTGTTCTAGTATGAGATTCTAGCAGGTGTTTATCTAAACATAATGTATTTTATAGTAGTGTATGTATATATTTTTGTAACATTTTTAATTTTTTTGTTTATAAAAAAATAAAATTCAAAAAATGTTCAAGAATAAGGGAAACCTTTAATAACAGCAATAAAGATCTAGATAGGAGAAAGTAACAAGGTAGCAAGGATTTTGAGCCTCAGGCAAGCAATTTACTACTCAAGTGAAGATTTTCGATGTAGAACTAGAAATTATAATTTGCCTACAAACTCCTTTAGATAATATTTTAAAAATTTAAATGAATGTTTCATAAAACCAGAAACGCATAATTTTATCTTTAACTATTACTAATGTTTTACACAAAATCCTTCCGCTTATAAATCCGAATCGATAAAAAAAACTTGAAAAGTATTGAAATATGAAATGTTTTTGTGGATTTTAATTAACGATACACAATTACCAAAAGGTAAATAATCAAGCAAAATAGAATTTTACGATAATTAACTAAATAATACCGACATTAACGACCCGATCTCCGCGTGATCCACATTATTTTTTTTTTTATAAAATTTAATCATAATTAAATAATAAAACAAATATAAAGTTATGTATTAAAATATAAATGCAAAAAGAAAAGAACGGTTGTTAAATTTTGCTAAAATTAATTTCGTTTTTATGATATTAAGCACTTTATATTATCATTGTAAATTCTATTACTGATCATAAAACCAATATTTTTTTTTATTATATATATGATAACAAACTCGATTTAAAAAATTCAGACTAAGTTTTTATTTTAATTATATTTATAGTAATCTATTCCAAGTAATTTTTAGATATAAATTCCAATAATTCGTGCTATAAGCGAAATTTATTGCATGTTTTCCTATCCGGTTGGAAGAATTTTCTTTAATATCATCTAAGAGTTTTTCTTCTTCTCTTCACCTTTCTACATCAAAAACTTAAAATATAATTTTTTAATTATTATCATCATCAATAAAGTTTCGTAAATAAAATTTGTTAGAATGTGAAATTTTACATATTTGAAATTTTAGAAAAATTTTTCTGGAAGGAAATAAACGTTAAAAGGATGAAAATTCCGTTATTTTAATTTTATTGTAAATCATATCAAGTATCGCAGTTTCGCTCTTTCTTAGAAATAATAATTACCGAAAAATTAATTAGAAATTTTTATAAAATTCATTTGATATCATTTTTAATTTAAAATTTTTCTTCTTCAAATTATCTATTTAATTTTTTTTCCTTTTAATTAAATTCGTATTAAAAGATTAATAAAATTTAGATTTTATTGATACAGAATTACGTATAAGTTATGTTTATAACATTTAAATTTATATAATAATCAGTTTTTTCTGTTATACTTTTTAATTGATTATAAATTATTAGCACTTAAAAATGATAATGATTTATAAGCAATTTTCATCAATAAGTATTAGATTAATTATATGAATAAATAATAAGATTAACATTTTATCAATAACTGAATAGATACTAATTATATTAACAAATAATTATGACTAATGATTATACTGAAGACAATATCTATAAGGTAAATCATTAGTAAATATAATCTATACATGGAAAAAGATGAAATAATAAAACAAATCATATGAATCGTCCCTCTGAAAAATTAACATCAAAATAGATTTTAAAATGTATAAATACAAATAGATGTAGATGAAATATGGAATTACGTACTGTATAAGTGTCTTTTTAAATTAGATCTATTTTGTTGTTGTTTTTTTTATGTTCACGTTTTTAGTTGTAACTAATTATTGTTAAAGAAAATAGTTCAATTTTTAATACTTTACACATATTGCAGAAGGTCACTTACGTTCATAAGAGTTATTTTAAAAATATATTTTATCCTTCTTACATCGAGTCTGCATTTAATATTTAGTAAGGTATAGTACCAATAAATTGTTTTTATATTTTACTAATTTCTTTATGTTTTAATTTACAAGCATTTCTTTAAATCATTCGTCATTTCTGATTTCATATTTTTAAATATATTTTTCCTTTTGACATTTTTTCAACTTTTCAGTCAGCTATGATCTATTGTGCTTTAAGTAATCGTTTCGTTCATTTTTTTAAAAAAACCTAATTTCCTTCACGACGGTTGACAAATAAAATTTTTAAATATGAATCTATAGAGAAAAATTGGTAAAGATGACAACACCTTATGTTTCATTTTTACGAGCTGACGATATCAACTTATTGGTATATATCATCAATATCTATAACAAATAAAGGAAGAAGTGTCGAGATCTACAACTTCAATTTCAAAAACTATCGATAAAATGTGTTTAGTCGCGTTATTTTATTCGAATCATGTTCCCTTAACACACGTGAATTTATATATGACTTTTGTCAGCAATAAATTTATCGAGAAAACATGCTATTTTCTTCAATCATCACGTCACTCCAATAGCTTGATCAAGTTATCCAGGCCTGGGGTAAGATGACGAATTTCGTACTTTTATTTAATTTCTTTATATAGGCCTATATTTAGATACATATAAATATATACATCTACAGTATTTAGTTAAAGAGTATTTTCAATTATCTTAATTATATTTTCAAGTACAAATTTTCAAATTTTAAGTACAAATAACACATCTTTGTTATATCTCACTTTTAAAATATTTTAGTAACTTTCTTAATTAAAAAATTTATAATTTTAATTACCTTAACTTTATTTAGTGACTTAATATATTAATTCCGTTTCTTATTTGAAGTAAAGCTTTGTATTTACACAATATTTCATCATATTACCAATACAAATCCTTCATTGTTCTACGTTATTCAATTAAAGATGCCTTGTGAGATATTCCCAGACGTTCTTCATAATCATACTGGGACTATTTTCTTATTATTTGCTTTTAATCTTGTACTAAGTTTACAATTGAATCATTAAGTTAGTTAATTCTGATGATTAACTAATTATTCTTCTGTTTAATTATTCCAAATTGTATTTTAAATTGCTTAGAATTAAATTAAACGAATAAAGTAAATTTTTTTAATATTTTAATTTATAAAAATATTAATTCTATCAACACTTATTATGTTGTAGACATAAAACTAGATGTTGAAAGAACTGTGTATAGTTATGTAGATTAATAAATTAAAATAATTTTAGAGAAAGAGAAATTTTTTTTCTGAACAGTTAATTGTATAAGAAGGAAGTTTGTTGAAACGATTTAATGATAACGTAATACAGCAGTGATAACAAGGTTGGAAAAGAAATTTAATAAGCTAATTAGCTTGATTCTATTACAGAAAGTAATAGAGCTTCGTAGTCGTTTGAAGAACGTACTGAAAACGTGAAAAATTTTCCATCTGACTTAATTTTATAATTTCCTTCCTAAAATGTGTTTAATATAGGGGAGACCAGGGCAAGATCGGCATGTTAAGCTTTACTTAAATTTTGTGTAATAAATACTGCTGTAAACTGAAAAAAAAGCTTTGCATATTGTCTATTGGAATGTTACCTTACTATAGAACTGGTTAAAATCAGTTTGGAAATAAAAATAATTAAAATAATTACAACTTTACAAGAAGAGAGAAATTGACGAAGTTGCCCCGGGTATAGGGGCAAGATCGGCAACTTCTCTCTTTTTGTAAAGTTGTAATTATTTTAATTATTTTTATTAAAGTTGCCCCTGGTATAGGGGCAACAGTAATGGGGCAAGATAGGCACGTATATAAAATTATGTTATTAACAATGTATAAGTTGGAATTCACTATTAAAACAAAGAAATACAAATCCAACACCCATTTAATATTATTACAACGAAATGCAAGTTCAAAGACATATATACATGAATAACAAATGCAAACATGTTTTCATTTATCATCTGTTTGATTTTTATCCTTTGCTTCTAATGTGGCTTTATGTTGCCGATCTTACCCCGCTAGTCATGATTTCGAAACATTAAGTACAACCCTGAGAACAGAATGCCAAGCCACGATCTGGCCACGTGAATAAGTTGAAGTTACATCCTTCTAACAGGAAAAGTAACTTTCGTTATCATGGAATTATAACAAAACCTGCCAATTCAATATAAATGGAAAAAAAATATTATATGGAATTGAACGAAAATGAAAATTTGCTTGATAATTCAACTACGCTTGTTGGAGAACAATAAAAACACTACACTCAACAAGCCACCAATAAAACTCAACTGCCTAACCTATAACCAAAGTCTCCTTTTAATTTGTTTTTAAAAAAAAGCGCTTGACAAACTTGCCCCGCATGCCGAAGTTGCCCCGGTCTCCCCTAAATGCAGAAAAAGAAGTTAAACTCATTAAAATCCTGCATTCCTTTGGTATAAAAATATATTATAAAAATGCATCCACCTTGGAATTATGTATTCCATTTAAAATATTACTCGAATATCTATAAATGTCGTCTCTTGGCCATTTTCGGAAACAAATTTCATTTTTAAAGTAGCAAAAAGGCAATAAAATATGTTTTTTGTTCTGTAAATATTCTAAAATATCTTCGGTAGATATCAGCGATTCAAATAAAAGAATAGATTAAGTTTATATAGTTTGAAGAAGATGGATGACTCTGTCGACAGTAAAATAGAAACAGAATACATAAAACGTGTTTGAATATGTAAGAGGAATTGTTCAATTTAAAAGGTAAAATAGTTTTTATATGTCTTCTATTAACCGAAATGGGAAAATAGAGATGACAAAAGTTATAAAATAGTAGTTGTTAGAAAACAACAATTTTTACAGAAAATTGGGGAAAAATCATTTCTAGAAAAAGTAGATATATATATATAGAGAGAGCTAACTATTTTATTGTATTTTATGCAATTGTATAAAAATAAATATAATGTATTGATTTTACATTTATATAAATATATGTTAAATTCATTCAATCAATCACTCAGTTCCTTCTCTTCAATTTTCATTATCCGTAACACGATTCCTCTTATAATTTGCTTGCTAATAAATTATCTTAACAGTTATCCTTTCTGAAACAGAACAAATGATATTTATGTTGCCAACGAATACAATCTTTCTGTTGTAAAAACGATACCGAGTAGACGAACCTTTATTGGGTCATGGCCAAGGTCATAACATTAGCCGCATCTGTCATACGGCATTTTAAAATGTATTCATTTAGAAAATATTAGTTTTGTTCAATAATTCCCGGTCTTTATAAGTTTATTATTTGTTTTAGCAATCATTAATCATCGCTGGATGTTATCTTTTATAGCTTTATTGCTTGTTTTAAGCAACAATAACGTTTAAATAAACAATTCATGTCGATTTTAATGTTCGAAACGAAAATGATAAATACATAATTAATGTCGCTTCGATATTTATGAATAGCGTCCCTGAAACTGATATTAAATTTCCATAAGGTAACATGGTGCATGCGTAATTTTCCAGAGCAATATCGTATAGTATATTACGCGGAATATAAAGCAGTAAACCATTTTTAGAAAGTAATAACATTCTAACCTCTTGTCAATCGATTATTTTTAATCAATAAAGTCCATAGTTGTTTTAAATCTGATGTTTTGTCGTTGATATTCAGCATTCTAACCTTTGGCATTTCTGTATTTTGTTGTTTTCTGCACGGTGTTATTATCGAACTGTACGCCTGTAAGAGAAGAGATCGTAGTGATGCATTTTGTTTTCTTACGTTCGTCCCACCTAAAAATAATTTGGGTCATTTTTCTATAAAATTGCTTCAATTAGCCATTTATCGGAGCTCCTCCTTTCGAAAGTGTCCGATTCGTCCCTTCGCTACTACATTCTTTCTCTTGACTGCTTCCAGTAGAGACGGATTGAGTCAGGAGGCTGCGCGCGCATGTGACTGTGCATGCTCCCCCTTCTCTCCGACCTCAGTTGATAGCAAAGACTGCCGGCATCTCTTCTTCCAGGATCATATCTCCTCGCATCTGGGATATATTTTCTTTCCTTGTTATTTTCGTCCGATTTTTTGATGATAGCTCTACTTATCTGGCAGGAATATTAGCATCTAGAACTTTCCTTAACCGGAATTTAAATTCAATAGGTGAGTACCAGTTCTTATCTTTCATCGCACCTGTTGTCAGCCATTCGTACCTGATTATGTGGAACCTCCAACAGCTGACTTTTTTCCCCTTGAAATAGCTTAAGTTAAACGTGTATATAACTCGCTTAAATGTTTTAGTTAACTTGGATAAAATTAAAATAAATAATCGAGTATTGAAAAAAGTTCTTTAAAATTCTTCGTCTTTGTCTAAATTTATCTTCTCGAGTATATTTAATTGTTTTCTTCATAAGTATTGCGTATATAAAGTCTTTTATATTCCATATGCTGTTTTAATGTATCGGAACGAGATATACAAGTCGTAAAGGTATCTTACGTACTTGTTATACAGCTGTGGTGTTTATTAATAAATATATATATATACATTTATACGTTACAAGACAATAAAAGTATGTCGGTCGTTGAGATGTATAAATAATAAATAAAGCAAATGTACTGTACCAAAGATATTTTCACTTTACCATCTCTGTATGGACATTTATAAATAACAATAATACAACAATCAGGTAAGTTCGATAAACATGCTTTTAGGTATATACTTAACTGTTCTTATATAATTCATTTATGTAAAATATATTATAAACGTATCGATAATGTTTCCAAGCTTATTTTACAACCATTTCTCATCAATTAATACTAACTAATCAATTTGAAGAGCATTCCAATTAATTCAAAATATCGATTGTTAATCACATACACACCACGCACGTATATAAGTTATTTCGTATACAGGGAAGAACTTACCATAAATTTAAGCATTGTGTAAGGAGTATTTAACTATTGATCACATATTGATGTACTGTACTTATCGAATTATTAAAGAAATATTTTGAAGTGTGCAAATTTTGATAAATCGAGTTTAGATGGGTCACTTAGACCAGAATCTAACTACACCACCTGTAAGTGTGTTCGAGTGACGACAATGTTTCCAACAATGATAGACAGAAATAAATTGAGTGGAGAAACTCCTCTCAGAACCGATCGGATGATTTATCAAGTGCTATCAACCTTTTTTTTTAAAAAAAAAGTATTTTAGAATATAATTTTAAAAGTGTTTTAAAAAATAATTTTCTAAAATAAACTTAATGAAATTTTGCGATTGTCAATTTCGATTTTTAAAACTTTATAATAGAAAACGAATTTATTATATAATTCAATTATAATAAACAATTTATATGCAGGGAATTTAATGTTTAAGTTATTTTAAGTTTAATATATTCATCCATAATCATATTTGATATGTATGAATTGATCGGCTATATTCGTATATCTCGTCTTGTTTCCTAAAATAAAATAAAATTAATTTATTCAATTTATTTATATATTTAAAGGAAATTTATTAATAATGTAAGAGATATATTGATCAAGTTTTAAAAATGAATCATTAGCATTAAGTGTACTTTAAAGTGTACAGAGTGTCGACATCGTACTAAATATTTATGTTCAAATATTTTATTAGAATTAATTGAGTGTAATTATTAAAATAACTTCTTATATTAATTAATTCTGATTAAAGTTTATATTTTAAATTTTGGAAAGGACTTTACATAAGAAAATATGTCATGAAATTATCACGTGTGACACGTTATTGCATACCAAACTGATAAAGAAAATGGAATGACTGTCTAGTTTAAAGTTAATATTTAGAGAAGAGAAATTACTTTCCTTTACACAAATATACTTTAATAGTATATTTTAGAATTAAAATAAAGGAATAATTTTTCGATTTTGTTCCAATTATTTTCTAAGATAAACAAACTAATACGATTCCTTTCGTCTCGTATAAGTCTATATATTTTAGATTTTTAAGAAGTTTACTGGCTATTAAATTGATTAAAAATCAAAAATACAAAGTTTTACGTATAAAATATTATTTTTAAGACTTTACTCGTTATAAGAGATAGCAAAATATGTATGATCTTATTGCTGTATGTACTTGCTCTATCTTATTATTAAAAAATGCTAATTATTTTAATAAACTTTGATTATATTTTTAAAATTTTTAAATATTATACTTAATCATAAAAATATAAATTAGATTAAATAATGGCGATTTTTTAATTTATTTATAAAAACACTCAATTTATTAAAATAGTTTGTATAAAAACGTAAATATCTTATAATATCTTAAAGTATAATTTATTATATAGGTTTTTTTTTACTATAAGAAATTATAAAAATAATATACACATTTTGAATTTTTAATCAACTATTAAATTATATCTAATTTATGTTTTAAAT